GTGTATGTGTGTGTGTGTGTGTGTGTGTGTGTGTGTGTGCGTTTGTACTCTCATTTTTACCCACCAGAGCCCCTGTAAGTATAGTATCCTTGAAGAGTACGCACCTAAAAGAATAACTTGGCTATTTTTATTACTATTGTTCTGCAAAATCACACGTTTGTCTGCTATTGCCATGAACCTGAATCTAAGCTGTTCCACCTTCGAGCCCACCAATATGAAGCTAAAACGCTCATTGTTTGAACAAAAAAACCCCATATATTATGAGAAAAAAAATCCAATCCCATGTGACCATTATCTAAACTTAACATCTCGATGCTGACACTATAATGTGCATTTTAAAATATGCATTACACTTCATTATGTATGCAATGCACCTTTAAATGAATACGGGGGATGGTCGTGTGTGCGGGAGTAGGAGTGCGGGGATTGTATGTATACATTGTTGCATGATCACCAAAAGTCAAATTGGGGAGATACTTAATTTTTACACAGGTGCAGAACACGTCATTGCGATGTAAATATATACTGGGTGTATTTCACCTCAAACAACAACGAAGAAGACAATCTTTTATGCCCATTTCAAAATGAAGAAAGGAAAAAGGCAACAGCTGATAAAATGATTAGTTTCGATACTATTAGCACCGCTCTGTATCGGATAGGAGATATATTATTTATTATATATTCAAATACAATAGGGTATAAATGACATGATATACGTGAAACAGGGGAAAGCAGAAAAAAAGTAAAAATAGAAAATTGCTTTCCAGCCACGGAATTTAAATGTTTTCTCAAACAAACATGGAAAATACCATACGGGTTTACTTCTTACTGAACATTGTGTCTCATCTTTAGAAGGGAAATTTGAAATTATATGATACATTAGACTGTGTTCCCGATTGTGAATGGCAACAGATGAGGAGATGAGTACCATAATATACAGGCTCATCATTATAAAAACTGATCTGTTTTGTAGTTCTAAATCGACAGTGCGTATCTTTAAATTTGTACGAGATATTCATCAAAGGTTTATACTTTCAGTGTGCTCAAGTCTCAGACCTGTGCCCAATTACAGCGAATGAAACTGATGAGGTGTAATTAGGTTCTATTTTTATGTTGGATCTCTCGACATCATCACATGGTCATGCCAATGCTCCAATTATCAAACATTGTGTAAAAATGAGCCCAATCACAAGTGAGATTACATAACTCGAGGAAGTATTCACAATACTGATTGGCTACCTTCTTGCTGAACATATGAAAAAGAATGAATTGACAGACTAGATCAATGTTATATCAGTAATTAAGCAGACGCTGTCTCAGTTTTTGGCATATTCAGCAATGACCTCCAGTCTTTTTGTTTGATATGGAACGGATTCGCTCCGTCTCGCTGCCCAAGCACATCAGACAGGGCATCTGGGCGTCTGCTGCGCTCCTTGGGAGCCACGTAGCCCACGTGTGAGGTCCGGTATGTTGTGTGGTCGTCGAAGGGCACAGAAGACGGGATGTACTGGTTGTCCGGCTTCAGCAGCTGGGGAAATCAGGACAAAGGCATTAGTTTAGTCGTTCTGACGTCCACTCGGTTGCTCTAATGTCCAGTCAGTCTCACGTTCAGTCGGTCATACTCCTGAAGCCTTCACTGAGCGCGAGTTGCCTAATGATCACAAGTGCTCTACAGGCTGGAGTCTAGTGTTTCCCAGTTTGACCGTGGAGGCCTCAAGTATGAAGAGTGAGATATAAGGGTAGAAACCCCAATCTGAAAACACCGATGTGTGGTATACTCTTTTTTCACTAAAGAACCCCCGCTATTTTAAACCAGAAAAGAGGATGAGTGACCACGTCGCTGGTGGCAACAATTGTTACTGTGGGAGATACGTATTTGACAACAAATCGGTAAGAACAAAACGTACCAGTCGAGGACAGCAGCCTGTCAATAGGGAGCAAAACCAGGAGCACACAATAGCAACCTATGTGTGAACAGGTCTCAACGGACAACAAAAAATAGGAATATAGGAACTGCAGCCCTTTACAAAAATGTAAACCGTGTGACAGACAGAAGAATTGAATGGCTCAATGGGTACCTGTGCCCAACAACAGCAGCTTATAGGGTTCTTACGACCGATGTCTACGTTTCGGGTTATCCACTTTTGAAAAAGCGAACAACAATGGGTCCTAAACCTCCACGCCCAACCTTATCATATGTGAACGTTCCTACTCTGTATTTCGGCTTTGGATCTTGAATAACACACAGCGTGTTTCACAAAACAATACGGTTAGTGAACGGCAAGTAAGGAAGAAGTATTTCGATGTTTAAATTGATAATGACACATTCCACGTCTTCTTCTATGTTTGCAATTAGACACACCTTTGCGAGTATGCGCCGCAGGTTTTGTTTTAACGCTGTCAAGGCAACGTCGCATAGTTCTGTTAGGTTTTCTTCCATTTTGATCATATCCTAGAAGTATAACCTGCCCTGTACTTTACTCAGTATGTTTTTATTATCACTCAGGACCATAGATCTATGCTCACGACTTATAGCATTGTCTTAGACTATCCAATATGGCTCTGATAAAGTTTTGTGGTCTTACCTTTCTGTTCTCGTTACTCTTTGGAACAAATTCCGACCCATAGCTTGTCCGATCCTCAAATTTGCCTGCATGGGACAAGAGACTGGAATCCCCCAGCTTCCTCATAGCAGGACGCTCACCACGCACTTCTTTGTAAGTTTCTCTGAGGAGTCAAAATAGTTCATATTATTTCTGTAACAGTCTTATAATATGATTTATGTTGGCACAGAAAATAACCACTCCAACGAAGAATAAATCTCGAAACACTAGGCTTTACGTACATCAGTGTAATGGTATGCTGGGTTGAACAGGGAGGAAGTTATATCGTTCTAAAAGTTAACAAAAATTCCAACTTCTTAACCGACACCGGCGAAGTCGCGTCGGGGCTTATTAACCCCGTGACCCCGAGACGCGAAGCGCCGGCGGGCGGCTGAGTCACGCTAACTAAAAGTAACAGAATCGGGCGAAAAGTGACGCCGTGAGAGGGACATTTACTGATATGGTCTGCAATATTTGTGATTTTGATCAATCTTTGGTGGTAGTGTGGAAATTGAGGGTTCAAAAAGTATAAATAAGACGCACGCCACAATTTCAAAACGCTGCACTTCAGTACGTCTCAAACGTTATTGTATAGGATTGGGAATAGGGTGTGAGTTAGGTTTTACAAATATTTTGCATCTATTAAATTTATCTTTTTCACATTTAAAAAAGAGCCGTGTGCAGTTGGCTAAATAGTATATTATTTTGGTCCTCTTCTTACCTGTTGATAGTGGTGAGGTCCATATTTCCTTCTGGTTTGACGTATTCTGCAGGCTTGTGTCGATGTCTTTGCTGGGTTTCATAAGGTTTGAAGGACGCACCGAAAGTAGTGTCACTCTGCACAGATGTTACAAAAGAGCAGAATATGTCTTCGTTAAGAAGGATAATTACATTTCTGTTCTCTTCAAAACATAGTGCACAGTACAATGGCACCCAATGACAGAGAAAGTTGATTATTCACAATTAACGACGAACCACAACGCACCATAACAGCTACATCTTGCAAAATACAGACAGAACAACAATAATGAAAGAAGTAGAAAAAACAGACCAAAACTCTCAGCAACCACCAAAAGGAGAGGAAAACGTGCATCAAAAGAATCGTCAAATCTTGACTATAACAAAAAGCGCGTTGAGCGGGATCCATCAGAGGTTTTACCAAAAAGCATCCTGGACCCGGGGGAGGGGGGAGGGGGAGGAAGTGGGGGGAGGGACAATAACAGTTCCACATATTCAGTTATTTCACATAATCAATGCACGTAACAGTAAGACTCGCTTTCTGGGCATAGCAAAACACGATTAAATACATGTATAGGGGTTGGCCTCGAAACTCAATTACGTCATTCTATTAATCTGTCGGCACCAAAAATGTAGTTGATTTTGTTAGTTAGTGTTGCCTTGGTGTTGCTACTATAGAAAGACCTGTTGCTATTTCCATTAATGATGTTGTTGTTGTTGTTGCTGCTGCTGCTGCTTTTGTGATTGTTATTGTTGTTGGTGTTGCTGCTGCTGTTGCTGATAATGATGAATGGTGATGGTGGTGGTGGTAAAGACTTGCATTCATTGGCCTTGGTTCTCATGGAACGGAGTACTTCCATAAATGACTAAGATATTTTATTATAATTCTGTTATTTATTTCTAACACTTGGTTCTCCCCAGGATATATTCAAATTCAAAATGACACTATTCTAATTTTGAATCCTTTCATTCACAACCCAGACGTGCCATTCAGGTCGGAAAAGGCTTTCATTCGCTCACGAACAATTACAAGAAGAAGTCAGGCCACGACCACTGAGATCAAAATCTCTACAGGGAATGTGGTGGCATGGTTCTGGGTCCTGACGCTGAATAGGGACTGCTGCTGTTCGCCAGCCACCAGCCGCCAGCCACAATGTAGCCAGTGTTGTGATCAACAGCAATCGATTGAAGATCAAAACCTCACCATTCTCGGCAACATGAGCGCAATTCAAATAAAGGACAATGGTCTAAAGTAATGGCATTAACTCGAGTCCTGCCCTGACTGACAGTGAGAATTTACATACGATAAGATATATTCAAAGTAAATACAAAAAGTCCACAGGGAATGAAATGGGAATAAGGAATGGGGTAGTGTGGTGGGGAGGTTAAGATTAAAAAAAGAGTACAGCAGAGCGAAAAGAACAAAAGTATAAAAAGCACCAAAAGGATAAAGAGTACATATTATGATGGTAGTGTAGAAGAGAGTGGGAAATCCTTCGTCGGAGTACATCGGAATTCTTCCATGGTGGCCGTAACTAACCGAAAATCATCGTTGTTTTAATTAGACACAATGAATAAACTCTCATGGCTCCCGACTCTACCTTACCCTCTCCTTTCCCTAAACCATTATATTATTTTGTTTTGTTTTGTTTGTTGTACGAGTGGGAGTTGGGGAAAAGGGGGGGGGGTGGTGAAAGACCTTGTTCAACTTGGTTGTTGTTTTTAAATATATATTTTGTTTTAGTATTCTTTTGTCTTCTGAGTTCGTTTTTTATCTATTGATTTATTTTGGGAGGGAAGGGGGTATACATAACAGTTACCACTACATCAGTGCATTGGCAGCTCAAGTCTTTCCCCCTGATATTAGTGACTGAGAACCTACAAAGAGGCCTACAACAGCAATAACCAAAAGCACGAAAAAAATTAACTATTCAGAAGATCTTCATATTAAATAACCAAAGTGGCGTCGTTGTCCGAGGATGTAAAAATGTTTTGAAGATTTTAGAAAGAGAAAGAAAAAGAGAATACAAGAAAATGGAGACACTATTTCCAAAACATACCTGGAAGGGTACATTTGATTGAACCACCTCCCGGTCGGGACGGAAGGATTCTCGTTTGGCCTGGTAGGCGCCCAGGTAGCTGTCGTGGGCGGTGGTGCGGGAGTCGAAGGGCGCGGAGGGAGGCTTGTGTTCCTCTCTCTGCATCACATGGCGGGGAGGCAGCTGGTGCTGGGTGAACCTGTAGTAGACAAGGATCGGTTGATTGGTTGGTTGGTTGGTGAACAGGTAGGTTGATTGGTTGTCTAGTTTGTTTGGTTGGTTCGTCGGTTCATTCGTTGGTTTGCTGGTTAGTTTCGGTTTGAAATTTGTTTTGGTTGGTTGGTTGGTTGTTTGGTTGGTTGGTTTATTGGATGGTTGATTGTGTGATTAGTTTTGTTCGGCTGGTTGATGAATTGTTTGGTTGGTGCATGATGTGATTTTGGTTTTTTGTGTGTGTGGGTGTTTTTTTTTGGTTAGTTGGTTGTTTGGTTTTTGCTAGGGGGGGGGGGTTCTTGGGTTTTTGTTCGTTTGTTTGGTTGGTTGATAGCTTTGTTTGTAGCACACCACTGATCCTCACACAGACCGATAAAACCAGATTCAATGTAAACACCCGCCCACCAAATACTCTAACCAACTTCGTTTTGTGCTTCGTGACTTAAACATAAATAACTATACTTAGAGGGGTGGGGGTCTGAAGTAAGGTTTACATGATTCATACGAATTTCCGGCCATTCTAACATGAAACACGAATAACCAACTTCAAGTTGCAAGAGGTGTTGAAACAAAACAAAAACAAAAACAAAAAAAAAAAAACATTCAAATAAGCAAACAAACAATAACTGCTGATAAACAATTAACATTTTTTTTACAAGACAGGAGGAAGGGGGGAAGGCTCACCTATCTCTGTAGTCGGTGCTGTCATCGAAGGGAGCGTCGGACTTGAGGTAGTCTCCTTTAGGCTTGAAGTTTTTCCTGGGAGTAAGTCCGTGCTCCTTGTAGGCGCCGTGTGTGGTGGTGGTGGACTCGAGCGGCATGCTCGGGGGTTTGTACTCGTCACGGCGCCGCACCAGCTCTCGTTTGACGGGCGGGGGCTGCTGGAAGTGGTTGCTGTAGTTGGTGTCCTTGCTCATCTCGCCTGATAGAGGTCGGGAGGGAGAGAGAGAGAGGTCGGGAAAGAGAGAGAGAGAGAGAGAGAGAGAGAGAGAGAGAGAGAGAGAGAGAGAGAGAGAGAGAGAGAGAGAGAGAGAGAGAGAGAGAGAGAGAGAGAGAGACGTTAAAGTCAAACACCATCATATTCTTTCCCCCTTCAGCAAATTCGTTTTCCCTTAATAACTGGGTCTCCTTCTGCTTGTTTAATATGCATTGCAAGCTAAACAGCACTAATTAATTAGTACTGGAAATATGAAGAGCAGGCGTGATTTGTAATGTATTAGGTGTCTATACTGTATTAAAAGAAAAGTACACAGAATAAAATAAGTACAACAGTCGATTTCTCCAATTATTTCTTATACTTGTATATTGTCATCCACACGAAACACTGGTTCTAAACCGTGTAAAGAAAAAAAGAACAACTTCAAAGTAAAGAGGCAACTTAATCAATTTTTTGCCACCTTTGAATTTAGTTATGAAGATGTAACAAAACACTAGTATATGACCCCAAAACATATGCTTATAGTAGTATCTTCAGAACACAGTCACATTATGAGGCAGGCCTAAAGTGTTATATACCCATGTACTACACATCAGTAGGAAAATATGGTTAGATAGCAGTTTGAGTTGAGCACAACGACCGACCCTCACACTGACCTGAGCCACGGAGCAGATGGGAGGAGCCAGGCTTGACGATTGGCTGTTTCTCTGCACGGTGTTCCTTGTAGTTGGCAAAGTTTGTGGTGGTCATGTCCATGTAGCCATCGGGTTTCTGATACACCTCATGTTTTCTCACAAACCTGTCCGGGATTTGCACTTCCTTGAAGGAAGTTCCAGTTGTTGTCGTGTCATCAAAAGGGGCATCGGACAAAACAGGATTTCGGTCTGGTCTGAAACTCTCTCGTTTCGGCTGGTAAGATCCCTGGTAGGAGTCCCGCACCGTGGTTCTGTCCTCCAGTTTAGCCGTGGGCGGTAGGTAGGCTTCTTTTTCCCTCAGTTTCCGTGGATTGACTTCATGGGGGACAAACGTGTCGCGGTTCTCTGTCCTGTCTTCAAACGGTACATCAGACCGGAGCGGGTCGTTCTTAGGACGGAAAGTTTCTCTCTTACCTCCGTACTTTTCTATGTAGGCTTCTTGATGAGTCGTGCGACTATCCATAGGGTCTGTTGGAGGGTGGTAATCCGCATCGGGTTTCAACAGCTTTCTCTTTTCAATAGGCTTCTCCACAAAGTCCCCTTGATAGTTGGTGGAATTGCTCATCAAACCTGAGCCTCGAAGAAGATGTGAGGAGCCAGGTTTTTGGATGGCCTGTTTATGCAATGGCAACTCTTTGAAGTTCGTGTTGTGAGTGGTGTTGAGATCCATATCTCCCAACGGTCGTTGGTATTCCGCCTGCTTCCGTCCTTGACGTTTCTGCACCTCATAAGCTTTAAAGTCATGGTTCATCGTGGTGCTATCGTCGAAAGGTTGGTCCGACTGCACCGGGTTGCGATCTGGCCTGAAGCTATCTCTTTTAGGCTGATAGGGTCCCAAGTAAGACTCGCCCACTGTGGTCCTAGCGTCTAGTGGTGCTGTCGGCCCGGTGTAAACCTCCTTCTCCCTCTGTTGTCTAGGGCTGATTTTGTGTTCTTTAAACGTGTCCCTGTACCCAGTGCGGTCATCAAATGGCTTGTCTGACTGCATCGGAGCGTCATTGGGCTTAAAATTTCTCCTTGGTCCGAGCTTATGAGGATGGTAATCAGCTTGGTTCACAGTGACCGAGGAGATGGGTTCTGACGGAGGTACATAATTATTCTTGGGTTTCATCAGCTCTCGACGTCCCATTGGGTGCTCCGGGTAGTCCGTGGCATAGTTGGTGTCTTTCTCCATCTGGCCCCTGCCCCTCAGCAGGTGGGAGGAACCCGGCTTTTGGATAGCCTGCCGCTCTACGGCGTGCTCTTTGTAGTACATGCCTGCGGTCGTGTTCAGGTCCATGTCGCCGTCCGGTCGCCTGTACTGCTCCGGCTCGTGCCTGAGAACACACGGTGAGGGAGAGAGAAAGGGATAATAAAAATAAAAAGACACTCGAATATGCTCAAAGTATCCACTGTTCTTTAAAAACCTGTTAATTCCGTGCTGTTGATGATTGTCATTATTTTGTCTTTCTCCCCACCCCCCTCCCCCCACCCACCCACACCTTCTCTCTTAATTCAGCATCATTGTCTTGAGAAGACAGCAAAATCAAACTAAGAGCATCTTTTATTCTACTGAACCCATAGACTTGAATTATAATATGGGACACTGTCATGGCCGCCACGCTTTGGTCTCTACAAAAACTTTGCTGCACCGGTCCGGACAATGAACGTGCAAATGACGGGGAAAAACCCACCAATCTCGTAATAGTTGAGTGCACGTGCAACCTTTCTCTCCTTTTCCTTTATTTGGTTCCAAATACATGTAGATCTATATATAATCAAACAAAGCGCCTCATGAGGAGCTGGAATTAGGTCACATTGCACGGTCTTGGACATTATCTCTACACATTATATTTGAGAAAGTCCGTCACTTTGGCCGCCTAAAACTTCCGAAACACTTAACTTTCGAATTTGAAAAAATTAACGGTCGTTCAGAATCATTTAAAGGGGGCACAGTTTCATTGAGAAGCCTGAAGTCACTGTAGTTTAAGTTTCAGTTATTCATTAGTTTCGTTTAGATCTAATCTTGACAAGTGAGGTTTCCGTTCACTAGCCGTGTGCACCTGATTCTACACCTTTGAAATTCTGGAGTGAACAATCACTTCTATTTAATTGTTTGCATCTCTCAAGATTTATTGCTCTATTCCAGTAGAGTGCAAATATAGTAGGCCAATGACTTTCAGTTGATGCCAATGCACCGATTATTCCTTTCATTGAAAGGGGGTCCAGCTAGTAAATTATATTACGTCTATGACTAGAGATAATGTGTCTCATTTTGAAGGCGATGAATGAGCGTCTACTATAATGATTGAATACGTCTGTAGACATAACTCACCTAAATCGGGTAGGTAAGGCGTGAGGCGGGTAAGAGACGGACGTCGTCGTGTCCTTCTCTATCGGAGCGTCAGAGGTCACTGGTGCCTGGTCCGGCCTCAGACTCTTCTGCTTGGGCTGGTATAGACCCTGGAAATCCTTCTGCTGTGTGGTTGTGGCATCAAAAGGGTCCACAGGTTTAGTCCACTCCACTTTTTGACGGGGCTGCTTTGGCGGCAGAGGATGCTCTTTGAAAGTGTCCTTGTAACCAGTCCTGTCTTCAAATGGTTTTTCCGATTGGAGGGGTCTTGAGAAAGAAAATCATAGTACAACTATTTTTTAAAACAGCTTAAGAAGTTGTTTTGCGCATTGACAGATACACTGAAAGACTCGCTGAGTGATTTGTTGAGTTGTTTGTATATGGACAGACTGACTGGTTGGTTGATTGCTTCGTTAGTTGATTAACAAATTGATTGGTTTACTTATTGACTGATTAGTTGGTTGGTTGGCTGGTTGGTTGGTTGGTTGGTTGGTTGGTTGGTTGGTTGGTTGGTTGGTTGGTTGGTTGGTTGGTTGGTTGGTTGGTTGGCTGGTTGGTTGGTTGGTTGGTTGGTTGGTTGGTTGGTTGGTTGGTTGGTTGGTTGGTTGGTTGGTTGGTTGGTTGGTTGGTTAGTTAACAGGTGAATAAACTGTTGTTTTTTTATTCATTAGGGATACGACACTATGGTTTCACGCTCTTCTTGGACAGACGACCATGCAAGGAGATGCAAGGATGTAAATTTTCTGAGCTCACACAAAAATAACCTGATACACACATGTGCATGTTGCGAAAGATAACAAACGCACTTGTTATCTGGTCTGTAGTTGACTCTCGGGGAGATCTGATGCTCAGGAAAGTCGTTCATGTTGGTAGATTTTCCCTCAAACGGCTGTTCGGGTCGTTGCCAGTTGGCCTTTTCTCTGGGTCGTTTTTCTGGAAGCTGCCACTCAGGGTAGTCCTCTGATGCAAAAGGTAATTGAGGACAAAGAAACAGATGAAAATCTGGATTAAAAATACCCCTGAAGAATCGGTTGGTCATAATGTTTGTAGTAAAACTGAGAACTGTGTGTGATATTACTTTAACAAAACGTTGATAGAATTTCTTTCACTTTAAGAACAATTTTAAACAGTGGTAAGTAGGGTTAGCGGGTTGATATTCGACAAAATTTCGAAAAAGAACCATCAAACATTCCATGTTTGACGTTGGCCGTTGACATTGGGTCTCCTTCACCAAGAATGCTTACATTCCCACAAACCGTCAACAAATCGCCACTATAATAAGGTAAGCCTTGATTGTTTAAGGTGTTATTTTTGAAAAACGTATCCCCCTTTCTTATCCACTGCCCACCTCTGTAAGAAGGATGTCCCTCAAAGGCACCGAGGTCCGGCCTGTCGCTGTCTCGTTTGTACGGCTGGCGTTTCTGAAGCGGGTGCTCAGGAAAGTCCCTCCTGTTGGGAGATATTTGGGGAGAGGGTGAGGGGTGTGCGGTTGATTTTAGCATGGATTCTCTTTAAGCCCTTCAAGACCAAAGGAAATCATTTTGGGGACAGCTAAAACCCTGTACGAAAGCTTTGAAGAAGAATAAGTTGCTCTCGAAAGAGTTACTCAAAAGCAGACTCTCTGTGGGGTGAGGAATCTAATGCAACGCACTTCAAAGGAAATAAATGGTGGTAACAATCATTTTAAATATTGTTTATCCCACGTAGTCTTTCCAGAAGGCGAATCCACTTGGACCAGGGCCATTTGTTAAATTATTTTTATTAGAATTTTATTTTATGCTTTTGCACGCCCTTCAAGTCATGATATTCAGACGTAGAGCGCGTCTCATCCTCTCAGAGAGGAGGACTTCCAAACATGGTTCTTTTCTCTCTTTTTTTATCCTACACCTCAGCTTATTGGTCAAATTTGTCAATCGGCTTGGCCGAGGTGGCTCTCTGGCTTCCAAGGCCCATACACTATCACTTCCCTGTTCCCGTGCCCTACTAACTAACCATCAGGATACTATTTAATTTCTTTTACCTGGAAGTTTATTGCAGAATCAGACGTGACAGCTGCGACAGCACAAGAAACAAAAGCAGTAGTAGTTAGGAAAGGAGGAGGAAGGAATGAGCAAGAGCGAGCATCAGCGTACTTAAGTGGTATAAGAGATATCACCACTAACCTCTCTGACATAGCTCGAGCTGTATTGTCTTTACCTTTTAAGCCGTAATCACCATCAATTGGAGAAAAAGTAAAACAAGATAGACATTTTTGAGAAACTTGAATCCTTTTCCAATTTCCCCCAAAGCCACCCCATTCACCCCCGCCCCAAATCACGACATATTCCATGCATTCTTTCCCACCATCTCTCAACACCCTATTGATTCCACCCTCCCCCAAAAAGTCGTTAGACGCTTATTAATGGCAGGTGGTCACCTTTGGATGGTCAGAGAATCGATTTGACCCTCTCCTTTGACTATCTCTGCGGGTGGTTTATAACTTTTGGTCCGGTTTACTGGATGTTCTGGGTATCTTTTCACGTACTCGGACCGGGGGCCATTGTTCAGCAGGCTGTCTGAGCTGTCGTCCCTGTATAGAATGTACATGTAATAATAGATAATTATAAATAACTAGCATTTGTAAAGCGCATAATTATCCCAGATTAACAGCAACCTCTATTATTATTACCCAAGTATACCCTAAAACATTCTAAAACGTCCTCGGCTTCTCTGGTAGCACCCTAATAATCGTTCAAACATTAAAAAACTAACAAGGTTTTTCGCTGTTTATAGCAAATCCATTTCCACCTGGGTAAGTGAGAAAAATTCGTGTAAATAACCTTTCCTAATAATACAACGTCGGGTCCCTGATGGGGTTCGAACCAACAAACTTACGTCTGCGAGCCAAACAGTCTAACCACTAGACCATTGACGCCATATATGTTGAAGTCAGTGTTGAGATGGGAGGTGCATTATAAACGGGTAGTAGCACGAGGAGATAATAACATTATATAACTTGCACAAAAAAGTTAAGTACTCGGACCGGGGGCCATTGTTCAGCAGGCTGTCTGAGCTGTCGTCCCTGGATAGAATGTACATGTAATAATAGATAATTAATAATAATAATAGATAGCATTTGTATAGCGCATATCCCCGCTCATCAGCAGGCTCTAGGCGCTTTACACTATATTATTACCCCAGCAGACCATAGAACACTCTGAAACATTCTCAGCTTCCCGGGAAGCATACAGTGCAAGCAGCTGATTAAGCGCTCAAACACTAACAAACTGACAAGATCTTTCGCTGTCTATAGCCGGGTACCCATTCCCACCTGGGTGAAGTGAGGATAATTCGTGTAAAGTGCCTTTCTTAAGGACACAACGTCGGGCCCCTGACGGGATTCGAACCCACGACCTTACGGTTGCGAGTCCGAGAGCCTAACCACTTGGCCGCCACCGACGCCTCGGATCCTCTCAACCAGGGTATTATTTAAATAAGACATGAACACAAAAATTGGTGTTTCTGACCCTTGATTTCTTTTCCTTCCAGAAATTCTCAATCGTCTCCTAAGAAACCACATTTCTGTTACCTCTAGTTTAGTTTCTGCCTGTAGTGATTGTCCAGCATTCACAGCCGTATAGAAGGGTTTACCACACATAGCCTTTTGGAATTTTTATTTTGGTAGCCACTGTATACCCATGTAACCCAACGTGAAAACTGGGTCCAGTCAAGATTCCAATCCTTCTGATGTTATCATTGTAGGCACTATTGATACCGTTCATACTTTGCGGTAATGTTGCTATGTTGTTATTGTAGTAGTGTTGAGTTGCTATTGTTGCGATTGCTCCTGATTGTTGTCGCAGTCTTTTCTGGTTCTGTTGTTGCTGTTGATGTTGTTGTTGTTGTTGTTGTTGTTGTTGTTGTTGTTGTTGTTGTTGTTGTTGCTGTTTTGTTACCGTTTTATTCATTGTTGACATGTTAATGAGTTACTGTTGTTATTAGTGCTGTTGTCGTCATTCTTGTTGCTGTTATAGTGGCGTCATGTTTATTCCATCATCACCACCTTTATCATCATCATCATCATCATCATCATCATCATCATCATCATCATCATCATCATCATCATCATCATCATAATCATCGTCATCACCATCATCATTATTGCAAACGTGTTGTTTGTATTGTCAATACCACTGTTGTCGCTACTTCTGGGGATGTGTTGTTGATATTTCTTTCACAGTCCTTTTTTCAAAGTCTTCCCATCTACCTCATTCCATATTTTGGTTTCTTCTGTTTTTGTTACTGTTGTTATTACCGTGTCTATGAATACTTTTAACAACTACCAAAACCCTGCCATCAGGCCTCATAGTGATGTTCTTTCTTCTTTTGCCCAATGCATGCTTTAGGTAATACTTTTATCGACCAAGTTACTTTCGACAACCTCAATTTATTAGGACATAAATCTCTTTTAATACATCATATGAAATGGTGATCATATCTCACAGGGGTATCTAATCTTCAGTTATTCAGAGCCAACGTAAAAAGTAAAAATTGTTGTTGTTAAGGATTGTATCATGTGTTGTTGAGGGGTGTTTCCATTTGTTTGGATGTAGGCCTACTCTCATTTCAAGACATCTTGATAACTGAAAGAAAGAAGATGAGCTCCTCAAACTGAAGCCAATAAGACCAGTGACTTGCCTTCGGGTTGAATCTGTACAGGATAGAAACCCGAACAGGTTCCATGATACATACCGACTTACGATTCAGCTGCGCGGATATGGTTTGTTATCCCCGAAAGATTTCATTTCATACATCATGCATATTATTACTTCCAAATTCCATTGTCACCAGTGTCCGTACTGAGGAATAGTAAATTTTATAAAGTTTTCACACCCACCTAGGAAGTTGTTCGCTGTGTAGTCTTATCACAAATGGTCCACTTATCAGTCAAGCTCTATAACCGCTATGTGCTGTCAAAATTTTTTACCACTGCCTACGGCTGCAAAGAGTTGACAACAGAAGAGGCGAATGCTGAACAACAAACTGGTCAGAGGTAGATTGAGGCCACTCAGGCTGCTAATGCCTAATTAGGACCCTTAATCCTTATTCCAAGGTACTTGGGATTTGCGCAGTAGCCCGCGGAACATGAACGAAAACAATATTTTAAGGTTTATGGCGTATAAAAAGCTTTGCCGGCTCGGCTAGTATTAGTAGCAGGTCTATCCTAAAGTGTAACTGTGATTCAACGCTTACCTTTTTAATCGCATCATCTTGATAAGACAGCTTTTTTGTTGCTTCCAGCAATCACCTCGATTTTCCGCAAGGGTTGCTCGCCAAGACCATGAAACTGGGGTTGAATCAAACTGGAATTTACCAACACACACTTGTTCCTTATACAAAACAATTCATTGAACTCAGTTGTAGGCCCGAGTGAAATTCTATGGCTTCTTATTGCCCTCTACACATATGATAGTGGGTAGATTCGCCGTAAAGGGACAAATCAAACAAAATATTGTTTAGGTACGACCTAAGTGTGCCAGGCTAGGTCGTCTATAAGCCGGGTCCCCTGTGCGACTCGGTTTGCAGGGTTGCCAGGGACGCCTTTTCATTGTCGCAAAGAGTCGGCCGTGACAACGAACGACGGGTGCGGGGAGGAAGAGTTCAAATGCAGGCTTTGTCTAAACCGCATGGACTCATGATTGACTGAGCTCTCTCTCTCTCTCTCTCTCTC